TGATGGATTTGACTATAAATACTTCATATAAGTGGAATTGTGCAATATCTGTCCTTCTGGGACTATCTTACTTCATTTCACATATGCACATCAAGGTTCAGCTGTGTTGTTGATGATTACAAGATGTACTTTTTTAAATCTGAATAATATTTCATTGTGTGTGTGTGCCACTTTCTTCATTCACCAATAGAAATTTAGGTTGTTCCCACATTTTGGCTATTGTGAATAATGCAGCAATGAACATGGGAGTCTGTTTATATATCTTTAAGATCTTGATTTCAAGTCTCTTGGATAAATAGGTAGAAGTGAGATTATTGGATTGTATGGTAATTGTATTTCTGATTTTTAGAGGAACTTTGATATGGTTTTCTATAGTGACTGTACCATTTTCTATTCCCAACAGTGCACAAAGGTCCCAATTTCTCCATATTCTTGCCAGTACTTGTTATTTTCTGTTTTTTTGATAATGCCATTTTTTTAAAAAAAATTTATTTATTTACTTGAAACAGTTACACAGAGAGAGAAGGAGAGTCAGAGAGAGAGAGAGAGAGAGGTCTTCCATCCACTGGTTCACTCCCCAGATGGCCACAACAGCCGGAGCTGCGCCGATCTGAAGCCAGGAGCCAGGAGCTTCTTCCGGGTCTTCCACGTGGGTGCAGGGGCCCAAGGACTTGGGCCATCTCCCACTGCTTTCCCAGGCCATAGCAGAGAGCTGGATCAGAAGTGGAGTAGCCAGGTCTTGAACCAGCATCCATATGGGATGCTGGCACTGTAGACGGTGGCTTTACCTGCTATGCCACAGCGGCAGCCCCAATAATGCCATTCTGTCATTATGAGGTGATACCTCATTGTGCTTTTGTTTCATTTGAGAGGCAGAGATAGAGAAAGCTACCATCCACTGTTTCACTCCCCATATGCTCACAATGACTGGGAATGGGCTCAATCAAAGCGAGGAACTCAGAACCAAATCCAGGTCTCCCCCTTGGGTGGCAGGAACCCAACTTCTTGAGCCATCACTGGTGTCTCCCACCATTTACATAAGCAGGAAGCTGGAATCATAAGCCAGAGACAGGAGTTGAACCTAGGCACTCCAATGTGGGATGCAGGTATCCTAACCAGCATCTGAACTACTAGCCCAAACATCTCCCTTCCCGTCTCCACCCCTGCAATGTAGTTTTCCAATTTTAGTATATGTGCTGCCAAAGCAAGCACTGCATTGTAGTTTTGATTTACATTTTCCTGTTGATTAGTAAGACTATGCATCTTTTCATGTTTGTAGAGAACTGCCTATTAAAATCTTTTGCCCATATTTTAATAAGGTGATTTTTTAAGCTATTGAGTTATAGGATTCCTTATATTTTTTAGATATTAACCCCTTAAATATTTTTCTCCTATTCCATAAGTTTCCTTTTCAGGCCATTGTTTCCTTGGATATGCAGAGCTCCCTAGTTTCATATAGTTTCACTTATCTGTTTTTGTTTTGCTGCATGTGCTTTTGGTATCATGTTGAAGAAATCATCGTTAAAACCAATGTCAAAAAGCTTCTACTCTGTATTTTCTTCTAGGAGTTTCAGTGTTTCAGGTCTTATACTTAAATCTTTCATTCATTTTAGTTGGTTTTTGTGTTTAGTATAAAATAAATGTCCAATTTCCTTATTTTGTATGTGACTGTCTAGTTTTCTTATGCTTTGTGGAAACTGTTTTCTTGGCACACTTCTATAAAATCTGTTGATCGTAGATATGTGGGTTTATCTCTAGACTTCCTAGTCTATTCATTGGTCTATGTATCTGTTTTTATGCCAGAACCATACTCTTTTGATTACTGAAACTTTGTAATATGTTTTGAAATAGGGCAGTGTAAGTCCTGTAGCTTTGTTCTTTCTCAAGATTTTTTTGGCTATTTGAGGTAATTTTCAGCTATTTATGAATTTTAGGATTGTTTTTTTCTATTTCTATAAAAATGCCATTAGGACATTGATAGAGATAACATTGAATCAATAAATCTGTTTGAATAGTATTAAATCTTAACAATATTAAATATTCTAACTAATGAACACAGAATCTTTCCACTTATTTGTATAACCTTTTATTTTTCTTAACAACATTTTTTTTATTTTTCAGTGTACAGATCTTTCATTCCTTGGTTATTAGGTTCATTCCTCAATATTTTTTTCAATGAGATTATAAATAAGATTGTTGTCTTAATTTTTTCTTAATAGTGCTCATTGTTAGTATATACAAATACAAGTAATTTTTCTATGTTAATTTTGTATCCAGTAACTTTACTGAATTTGTGTATTAGTTCTAATATTTTTGTTGAGTCCTTAGTATTTTCTTCATGTATGATGATTTCATTTATGAATGGAGATATTTACACTTTTTTATTGCCTAATTGCTGTGGCTATAACTTCCAGTACTGTGCTGAATAGCCATGGCAAGAGTAGGCATCTTCTCTTGTTTCTGATCTTACAGGAAAAACTTTCGGGTTTTCACCATTAAATATGTTCTTGGTTGTGAGCTTTTCATGTATGACTAATATTACATTGAAGTAATTTCCTTCTATTGCTAGAAGGAAATTACACTGTTGAATTTGGCCATGTGCTTTGTCTGCATTTATTGAGGTGATTATGTGATTTTTATCTTTCTGTTAATATATTGTAACACACTGGTTGACTTTGTATGTTGAAGCCTCTTTCATCCCAGGGATAATTCTCCCTAGATCAAGATGTATGATCCATTTAATGTTCTGATAAATTTGATTTGGTAGTACTTTTTGAAGATACTTGCATCTGTATTCCTCAAGGACATTGGCCTATGCTTTTCTTTTTTTTAATATGTAACTATCTTGATTGATACTAAAGATAATGAAATTCATATTTTCTCTTATTTTTTGTAACCTTCTCTTGGACAAGTGTTTTTTTTTTTTTTAAGATTGGTTTATTTATTTGAAAGGTAAAGTTACAGAGAGACAGAGGCAGAGAGAGAGAGGTCTTCCATTTGCTGGTTCAATCCCCAAATGGCCACAACAGCTGGAGCTGGGCTGATCCAAAGCCAGGAGCCAGGAGCTTCTTCCAGGTCTCCCACGTAGGTGCAGGGGCCCAAGGACTTTGGTCATCTTCTGCTTTCCCAGGCCATAGCAGAGAGCTGGATCAGAAGTGGAGCAGCTAGGTCTCAAACCGGCACCCAGATGGGATGCCGGCACTGCAGACAGTGGCTTTACCTGCTACACCACAGTGGGCCCCAGACTGTGCTTTTCTTGTAGTGTTGTTATCTGAGTTGGATCAGAATACTCATGGTGTGATGGAATGAGTTTTGAAGTGTTCCTTCCTCTTCAGTTTTTTTGGAAGAGTTTAAGAAGGATTTCCATTAAATATTTAAAAGAATTCACCAGTGAAGCCATCTGGTCTTGGGTTTTTCTTTGTTGAAAGTATATTATTAGGGCCAGCTCTTGCACCTGTGTGGGAGACCTGGCGGAAGTTCCTGGCTCCTGGCTTTGGATCAGCCCAGCTCTGGCCATTGTGGCCATCTAGGGAGTGAACCAGTGGATGGAAGACCTCTCTTTCTCTTTGCCTCTTACTCTCTGTAACTCTGCCTTTCAAATAAATAAATAAATCTTAAAAGACTAAGCAGTGAAAAAATATTTTAAAAAAGAAAAGAAAGGATATTATTACTGATTCAATATCCTTACTCATTATTGGTTTATTCTTTTCTGTTTCTTGAAGATTGAATCATGGTAGCTTGTGTAAGCTTCTATGAATTTATCCATTTTGTTTTGGCTATCTAATTTGATGGATAATTGTTCATAGTTTTTTATATTCCTTTTATTTATATGGCATTGATTATAATGTCTCCCCTTCTGGTTTTGTTTATTCAGATCTTCTTAATTAGTCTAGCTAGATTTTTTCCAATATTATTAATCTTTTCAAAAAACCAATTCAATTTTGTTGAGTTTTTCTGTTGTTTTTATATTCCATATTTCATTTATTTCTATTCTAATGTTTATTATTTCTATACATCTGCTAACCTTGGTCTTAGTTGATTCTTTTTTCCCCTGACTTAAAGCCTATGGTTAGGTTGTTTTTTTGAAATCTTTCTTATTTTTAATGTAATCATTTATACTATAAAATTCCTTCTTAGTATTGCTTTTGTTACATCCAGTAAGATTTGGTATGTAGTGTTTTCATTATCATTTTTCTTAAGATATTTCCTAACACCCCTTTTGATTCCTTCTTTGACCCATCAGTTGTACAACAATGTGTTGTTTATTTTCCATACACTTGTAATTTTCCAGTTTTCTTTGACTGTTGATTTCTAGTTTCAGTCCATTGTGGTCAAAAGAGATATTTGGTTTTATTTCAGTCTTTTTAAATTTCTTCAAACTTGTTTGGTGACCTAGTATACGTTGTACCCTGAAAAATGTTCCATGCTTGCCTAAGAAGAATGTGTATTCTGTTGCTTTCGAATTCATTCAGTAGCATATTTCAGGGAAGAATATCCAAAGCTCCAATTGGCTTTTAAACAGCCTTCAACCTACCCATCTTATTTTGACCCCATCCCTTCATATCCATTTTCAAAAGTACCTGAGCTGTCAATTCCCGAGGATTCTTGAGTGGAGACTGAGTGGGTTCTTGATTTTCTCCTCTGCTGGTTTAAGATTCAGCTTTCTTGAGTGTACCGGGTTGGTTCCTATCCATCATTATTTTTCAGCTTTCAAAATATTGTTGCTATTGCCATTTTCTCTTGTTCTTCCTAACCTTGCTGCTGCTGCTGCTGCTGCTGCTGCTGGTAGGTGTGTGTGTTTGTGTATGTGTGTGTGTGTGTATGTGCGTGTGTGTGCGTGTGTGTGTGTGTGTGTGTTTAAGTCCCTATAGTTTTATAGTTTCCTGGAACAAATGAAATTAGATGAATGTATTCAATCAACAATCTCTATCTAAACTATAAGGAACTAATTGTCCTACCTATCTTATGTGATATTTCTGTTGATTTTGAATTTGTATTAGGTGTTATACCTGAAGAATCTTAGCCCTCGGGTGACTGAAAGAGATCTTATCTCATTGTTCGCTCGGTTCCAGGAGAGAAAAGGACCTCCAATTCAATTCCGAATGATGACTGGGCGAATGAGGGGGCAGGCTTTTATCACCTTTCCCAGTAAGTGGCTTCATCTATGTAATTACTTAGTTGTAGCATCAGTTCACTAGCGAGTACCTATAATCCCTCTAATTTATAACCCTTTGATTTTGCCATCACACATGAGAAAAAGTGAAGGAAAATAAGAAAAGTTTGTTTCTAGTGTTCCTCTACCCCCATTATGTGCTCCTTCTTCTCTGCTAATAGTGCATGACCACCTTAGCCCAATGTCCTAAAGTTTCTATAATCTTGGCATTTCTTTCTTACCCTCCCAAAATCCACTTTCCCTTTGCTTAAATAGTATTTCTTGTCCACGTTATAATTAGATTATTCATTAATTAATATATTGGTATTCTGATCAAAACATATGTACTTGCCTTATGCCCTATTCTTTTAGGAATAAATGACTGCAAGCTAATATGCTGATTCATTAATTATACATAATTAGTGGATGATGACACACTCTTCTGAATAATTGTTTGTATGTTATACATGACTTCAGTGTTCTAATCCAAATGGAAGAATAATATAGGAATTTCATTTTCTATGACAGACCAAACAGCATATCTTTGGAGGGAGGCTGAGTAGGATCTATACCTTTCATTTTCCCTAAACTGTCATCATTTATAAATAGCCTACTAATCTATGTGTAGGCAAGTGGTTACACATACATACTGCCAAATTCCCCTCCTTTGTTTTCATACAGTCATATCATTTTTCTTATCCTAAGAAATATATATAGATCCCTTTAATAGTGGTTTTTAGTTTTCTCAAGTGTGAGGATCCCTTTTCAATTTAAAAAAAGTTTCCTGGACTCCCACATAATAGGTCCAATAATTGACAAATTATGTAATAAAAAGGCTTTATAAACTACTTTTAAAATGTAAAACTGTTTTGCTGATTCTAATAGCAGCTATACACATTACAAAATTTGTAGTATATATATGAAAATAAAATTGGTTTAATCTAAAGATATCATCCACTTATGATTCCACAGATTCCTAGCCATAAAATACCACTTCCTTATTTTCTACATCCAGGCTTTGAGACCTCTAAGTTGTGTACTCCTGCCATACACCTTACACCTCAAGCTTCTATATGCTTCTTAAATTTATTCAAATAGTGAGTCCCATGACCACTCTCCCACTGAAAGAAAAAAGTAGCAAAGTGTTCCCAGTAACATCATGAGTGTTCTTGCTTGTCTTAGCTGCTTTGAAAATTTGCTTCTCATGGTATCTATAATCTGTTGTCTAAGATAGAGGTTTGTGTGTGTGTGTAATTAATTAATTACAGCTTACCCTTCTTTAGCAAACTGCCTTTGAATTAGGAGACATTCTCAAATATCCATGTTGAACTTTTATTGTCATTAAGCCTAACAATTAATTTAATCTTGGTGAATAATACAAATTGAAGATTATAGAAAAGATGATAAAATCACATGATAGCCTACATTTAACTCCCAGGCAAAACAACTTAAACTAGATTTAGAATAGAATTGAATTATTTAGCCCTATGTAAGATGATTTTTTTTTCTTTTTCTTTTAGATAAGGAGATAGCATATCAAGCATTGCATCTAGTAAATGGATATAAACTACATGGGAAAATATTGGTGATAGAATTTGGGAAGAACAAAAAGCAACAGTCAGATCTCCAGCCTACATCTCTCATGTCATCTGCTACAGACAGCACTACAAAAACCAGTGGTAGCTAGAATAGATTATGTTTCCTGGATGGTCTTCCTTATATCACAGTCTTGGATCTGGGATTTCTGTATAGAAATTTGTTTAATGTTGAAGAAGAGAAATTAATGGAGAAAAAAATACTATTTGGGATGCTCCCTTTCATCTTGTGGGGACAACTGGGACAAAACATTTTATATAATGAAAGCCTATATAGAATGTATGGTATGCTGAATGTGAAGGGTGGTGTACAAAAAGTATTATTTTCTCAGGATAAATTACAAAGGATTATTCCTGAGGGTTTTTTAAAATCTTTATAATTTGGGGAGGGTCTTCAATATTTGTCCCTACAATTACCATTTTTCAAGACTATTTCCTATATACCGAATTTAAAATGCTATTGAATACTGAAGTATTTATTTCCTAGAGCCCATTTTTCCTAATTTTATTCACCTAGTAAATAAAAGAGCACACATTTAGGCCTAAGCATCAATAAATATGTTAAGTTACTAGCAGCAGTAACAGTGGGTTGTTTCATAAGTCAGTCATCATATTTAATGAATGCTTCCCCACTAAGTTATCAGTTTTCAAAAAGCTATTTTTCTAAGGAAATCTTTTAGATCAAAATATGTGTGTTCTCACGGCCATTTAAACTAGCTACCATTGAGTAATCATCGAATTTAAAGCAATAAACTTTGAAAAATGTGTTTAATATATGTTAAATATTAGCTGTATGAATTTTAGAAGGGAAACATACTAACAAAGAACACTAAAGGGACATGGAAAGAAAGAATTTTCTAAGAGAAGTGGTGATTCTCAAATCCCCCAGTAGTTTGTTTATGGTTGCTGGAGAAGAGAAAGACAATATGCTGTCAAGGAAATGCTACTAACTTTATAGTCAGATCTGTGTTTAAACTCACAGCCACACTCACTGCTTTGAACTTGGAAAGTCACTCAAATCTGAACCTCTGTTATCTTGTAAAAGTGAGGATAATAACTACTTATCTAATTGGATTGTGAGGAATAAATGATGCTATATTTTTAAAGCTGAGGAATAGAAATAAAGAATGAATAAGATTGAACATAGTATAGAACCTGTGAGACACCAGTAGTGGGAGTACCAGGAAAAAAAGAAGAGAAAGGAGCAAAAAAACTTCCAAGAAATAATGGCTATAAATGCTCCAAATCTGATGAGAAGCATTAATCTACACATTCTAAAAGCTCAGCAAACCCCAAGTAGAATAAATGAAAAGAAATCCACAGACACATCATATTAAAAATGCTGAAATCCAAAAACAAAGGGAAAATCTTGAGAGCCACACACAAAAAATGAACCATTACTTATCAAGGAACTCCAACAATATTAACAGCTAATTTCTCATCAGAAACAGTGGCAGAGGCAGTGGTATAACATATTCAAAGTGCTCAAAGAAACAACTGTCAACCAAGAACAGTATATACAGAAAGAACAGTATATACAGGAAGACCATTCTTCAAAAATGAAGGTGAAATAAAACATTGCAGCATTATCAAAAACTCATAAAATTTGTTGCTAACAGCAGCTAATAAAGGAAATTCTTCAGGTTGAAAACAGGTGACCTCAGAGTAATTTGAATATACACACACAGAAAGAGTACAGGCAAAACTAATAACCTAAATGTATTTTCCTTTATCAATTCATTAAAAAAAAACAAATATATAAAGCAGTATGTATATGCCTGCATTGTTTAGTCTACAAAATATAAAACTGTGATATACTTGCCAGTAACAGGACAAAGGAGGTGGGTGGAAATAATGCTGTATTATATTAAAGAAATGACTAGATGATAAGTCAAATCCACAGAAATAAATGAAGATAGCAGGAAATGGGAAATAAGAACTATAAATATATCCTTGCTCTTCTTTCTTCTCCCAGCCTCTTTAAAAAGACATAAAATTATATTAATTATAATAATGTACAAAAGGATTTCAAAAAGTTTGTGGAAAATAGAATTAAAATATAAATTTGGTACAAAAATCTGAAATCCATGTACAATTTTTTCATAATATTCATTTTCTATGCACTTTTTGAGGATCCTTCATATTGTTAAGCTTATGTGTAGAAATAATATATATAACAATAATACCAGACACTGAAATAAAAGAATGAAATTATGTAGGAATAAGACTTCTATATATCATTGGAATTAAGTTAGTATCTATGTGAAGCCAATTCATTTTATTTAAGATATATATTGTAAGGCTTAGAACAGCCACTAAAGAAATAACTTTTAAAAAACAAAAGTATTATGAAAGAAATTTAAATGTCACATTAGAAAATACTCAATGCAAAATAAAGCAAAAGGAAGACCAGAGAAACGAAACTTGGGACATATAGAAAATGAATAATAATCTATCAGCCATAAATCCTCCCACAGCAATAAGAACAGTGTGAATGGAGTAAGCAATTCAATCAAAAGGCAGAGATTGTCAGAGTAGAAAAAAAACAAGACACTATGTTATTTATCATAGACACAGTTTAGGTTTGAAAAATATGAAGAAATTGAAGGTAAAAGAATGGGAAACAAATGTATCATGCAAACAGCAGTATAAGAAAATGGAGTGGCATCAGACAAAGTGGACTTTAAAACAAAAATAATTTTTATTTTTTAGACTTTAACAGACAAAAATTGTACATAATTATGGGACATGATATAATCTTTAATTACATGTATACATTTTATATGTCCAATTAGGGTAAATATATGTATCTTTTCAAGCCTTTAATATTTCTTGATAGTGAAAACATCCTACATCCTGTATTCTAGGTTTTCTTCATAGAGAAATATGCACTATATTAACATTATCTGTGGTCGCCCTACTGTGCAAGAAAATCTTGGAACTTCTTACTCTTATCTAGCTATACCCTAGTATCCATCAAGCTAAATAGTGACATTTTGTCTTGATAAAAGGGCCAATTCATGAAGAAGATGTAACAATTATAAACATGCATGCATACAACAAAGCCCTGAAATACATAAAGAAAAAAACTGAAATAAACGAAAGGAGAAATAGACACATCTACAAAAAGTTGGACTATTTAATACCTATTTTCGATAACAACTATACAGAAGATGAGAAAATAGAGTACATGAAGAACACTATAAGCCAAATCTAAAGACATCTATAGAACATTCCACCTAATAGCACTTGAATACATATTATCAAGTGCATATGAAGCATCTCTAGGATAGACCATATAGGCTAAACCATAAACTAGTTTAATAAAACTAAGTGAACTGAAGTCATGTAAAGTATGTTCTATGACCACAGGGATTGAAGTAAGAAATCATTAGATAGTACAAAATTGGAAAACACAAATATATGATCAGAGATTCAAAAATGATATCACAAAGGAATTTAGAAAATCCTTTGAAATGAATGAAAATGAAGACAGAATATACCAAAACTTACAGGATGCAGTTAAACCATTGTTTAGAGGGAAATTATAAATGCCTACTTAAGAAGAAGAAAAATGATATAACAACCACCTCACACTACACCTTAAGGCCTTGGGAAAAGAAGATCTAATTAAATCTAGAACAAGCAGAAGCAAGGAAATAGAAAAGATTAGATGGGAAATAAACAGAGAACAGAAAAACAGTGGAGAAAAAGCAATGAAAAATTGATTCTATAAAAGATCAACAAGACTGGCAAACCTATTGCTATTCTGACCAAGTCAAAAAGACACTCAAATTACTAGAATCAGAAATGAAAGAGGGAACATTGCTGTCAACCTTGTAGAAATAAAAAGGATTATGAAGGAACATTGTGAACAATTGTATGTCAATAAATTAAATAACCCAGATGAAATGGACAAATCCCAAGAAAGACAAACTACTAAAACCAACTGAAAAAGAAATAGAAAATCTGAATAGACCTATAGTGCTTACACGGGGTAAATGAGTAATTTTTAAAATACTCACAAAAGAGGCAGGCATTTAGTAGCATTAGACAAAACTTGAAATGCTCCCATCCCACATCAGCGTGCCTGGGTTTGGGTCCCACCTCTGCTTCTGATTCCAGCTTCCTGCTAACAAGCACTCTGGGAGGCAGCAGATGATAGCTCTAGTATTTGGATTCCTGCCACACAAATTGGGGACCCAGATTGACTTCCAGGCTCCTGGTTTCAGCCTGGCCAAGCCTTGGCTATGGCAGGGTTTTGGGGAATGAGTCAGGAGATGAACCATCTCTCCCTTGTCTGTCTGTCTTTTAGATAAATAAAACTAAATTTTAAAAATAATACCCACAAAGAAAAGCCATGGTTCCAGTGGCTTCTTAGATGAATTCTACCAAATAGAAAATACAAATTCTTAACAAATTGTTGCAAAATGAGAAGAGCAGGGAACACTTCTGACACATGTTACAACATGAAATATGCTAAAGACTATGCACAATGAAGGAAGCCAGTCAGAAAGGATGATAGTCTTCCCCCTTGTAAGAAGTGTCTGGAATTGGCATATATAGACAGACAGAAAACAGATTAGTGGGTGCTTAGGACTGGGCAGAATAAGGGGAATGGGAAGGGATAGGGGTAATAGCTGAAGTGTATGAGGTTTCTGTAGAAGTTGATGAAAATGTTCTAAAATTTAATATGATTACACAACCATTTGAATATACTAAAAACCATGAATTGTACATTTTATTTTGGCTTTTTTAAAGATGTATTTTTTGTTTATTTGAAAGGCATAGCAAGAGAGAGGTAGAGACAGAAAGATCTTCCATCTGCTGGTTCACTCCCTAAATGGCTACAATGGCTAGGGGATAGACCAGGCCAAAGCCAAACACCTGGAACTCCATATGGGTCTCTCACATGGGTGCCAGGGGCCTAAGCAGTTGGACAAACCTTCCACTGCTTTCTGAGTCACATTATCAGGGAGCTGTAATGAAAGCAAAATAGCCAGGAATCCAACTGCTGCTCTGATATGGGATACTGGCATTGCAGACAGTGGTTTTTGTTTTTGTTTTTGTTTTTCCCCCACAGCTTTATTGAGGTATCATTGACAACAATTGTTATCTGTAGAAGCTGTACAACCACTTTTTTTGAGGACAGAGCAAAAGGCTCTGGAAGAACATTAGGAACCAGAAGTATTTTTGGAATACACACTCTACCAGTGAATAAAAGCAGTGATTTATAAGGAAGAACAGTAGAAAGGATAGGTTGGGCTGAATAGGTATAGTAAAAAGGTTTTACAAGTACTTGAAAATCAGACAGAAGAATTTAGCCATGTATGGGTAGAGAATTAAGCCATTAAAAGGCTTTCTGTTTGTTTGAATTTTTTTTCCCAATTTTTATAATTTTTGTGAAAGGCAGAGTAAGGGGCTGGTGTTGTGGCATAGCAGGTAAAGCCACTGACTGCAATGCCAGCATTCCATATGGGTGTTGGTTCGGGTCCCGGCTGCTCCACTTCTGGTCCAGTTCCCTGCTAGTTGCCTGGGAAACCAGCGGAAGATTGTCGAAGTTGTTTGGGCCCCTGCTACTGATGTGGGACACCTTGATGAAGCCCTTGTCTTCTGGCTTTGGCCTGGCCCAGCCCTGACCACTGCGGCCATCTGGAGAGTGAACCAGCAGATGGAAGATCTCCCTGCCTCTCTCTCTGTAACTCTGAATTTCAAATCAATAAACAAATTTTTAAGTAAACTAGATAAAATTTTTAAAAGAGAGATCTTCCATCTGCTGGTTTACTCCTCAAATACAGGCAGTGGTTTAATCTGTACCACAACACTGCCCCAAATCATACACTTTAAATGAGTGAATTGTGTATGAATTATATCTCAATAAAGCTGTCATAAAAATAGTAAGTTCAGTATAACCAAATGTCCATTAGTAGGAAAATGAATAAATGAAGTCATATCAATTTAGTGTAATACTAATACTATGCAGCCATTAACATAGTGAAGTATATCTGTGAATATATTCTGGACTGCACTCATATTTAATATCTTTTATTAAGTCAAAGAGCAATGTGCATAAATGTTTAATCTGAATACATTTTTAAGCAAAAACTTTCATATACATGAGGTGATCGTGTATATAGACATTTCAAAGTAAATTTAGGGAAAAATGAAGGTGTACATATCAAGTTGTAAACATTTTGGATGTGGAATTAGACCTAAAGGGGACTTGTACTCTGTATAACTTTAAAGTGGTATTCTGTGGAGTAACTTTTACTTCTTTCAATATATCTGAAATTTTAAAGAAAAAACTTAAATACTCTTGCAATGACTTGGCTTCCAGAATATTTGTCAGATGTACTCTGGGGATATCATCTGACTATACTCAGGAAAACTCCTATTATTTTGACATAGTGCTCACTTAGGATTAACTCTCTGCTTTTAAAAATAGTTGAAAGGAAAAGAAGTGAATCATCTTCTTGTAACCTCTTGCACACATTACCCTGGGAAATCCTTCTAAGCTGCACTTTTCAGAAGGAGCTACTTCCTGTTGGGTGGAAACTCTCACCTGTGCTCATTACTAGGCCTACGATCCCTATCAATGGAGGAAAATTAAAATGGAGGATAACCTTCTACTGGTGCATAGCTATAGACACTGATAAATTCATACAATGAAATCCTACTCAGCAATAAATACCAATGAAATAAGCATGCAACAACTTTGATAAATCTTGAATGCATTTTGCGAAGAAGAAGCCAGACTCAAAAGACTATTTACTATGTTATTCCGTTTGTGTAATTCTCTGGGAAGCAAAGCAATACTAATGGAGGGAAAAAAAATCAGTGGATGTCAAAAGTAAAGTTTTGAGTACCCTTGGCTACAAAGTGGTAGCACAAGAGATTTAAATAATGGAAAATGGTCTTTTCATGATTGTAGTTACTTGAGTATATGCATTTGTCAAAATTCAAAGAATTGTACACCAAAAAGGATGAATTTTATTGTATGTAAATTTTTCAATAAATTATGGAGGAAAGAAAAAAGTTGATGAAATCATCATTTCCATTAAATGGCGTCCCTATTCTGTGGTTTTTGGTTACTGTTGAAAACTTAATTCCATTTTTCCTACTACTATTTCCTATTTTCTACTCATAAGTCAGCAGAAAATCATCAGTTAAAAACATCTGTACACACATACACATGCAAACCTACCACACGCAAAAAATTAAAAAACAAACTGGAAAATATATTTGTTACAAACAAGAGGCTATAAGATACAATGTATGTAATATTTTTGGTACAGTCCTCTCTGCTTATCTACAGGGGATATATTCCAAGACGCCCAGTGGATACTTGAAACCATGGTACCAAACCCTACACAGACTGTTTTTTCATATATGACCAGCAGCATTCCACATAGTTGCAGAGTTAACCTGTCCTCACATGTTTTGTGCCCTGGTGCCTCCTTTGTATTACTGCTTTTGGACTTTGGGACCATTGTTAAATAATAAGTGTTTCTTGAACATAAACACAGCAATGCCATGACAGTTGATCTGATAGCCAGACACAACTAAGTGAAAAACGGGTAAGTAACATATACAATGTGAATACACTGGACAAAGGAA